TCCCGGCTCGCCCCGCCCGGCGCCCGTTTCTACTTTTTTTGACTAGTATATGAATAATGCTGCTATAATAATTGATATACACATTTTTGATGAACATACATTCCCATTTCTTTTGTCATTATGCCTATGCTTGGGGTAGTTGGATCTTAAGGTAAATCTATGCTTCACCATTTAAGGAATTGCCAGACTATCTTACAAAGTGTCTGCCACATTTATATTCTCACCAGTGGCATGAGAAACTTCAAATCTTGTCACAATTTTCAATGTATTGTCTTATCTTTTTTATTAATGCTATCTTTGTAGATGAGATATGGTATCCTATTCCAGTTTTAATTTACATTTCCTTAATGACTAGTGTTGTTGAGCATCTTTTTATGTGTTTACTGGCCATTTGTATATCTTTTGTGTTAGATTGTCTATTTAGGTCCTTTTTTCATTAGTTGGATTGTTTGGGTTTTCTGATGTTGACGTTCTTTACATGTTTTATATATGAATTCTATATAAAAACATAACTTGCAAATATTTTCTAACATGCTGTGGGTCGTCTTTCTATACTCTTGGTAGTATTTTATGATGCACAAGTATAATTTTGATAAAGTTTAATTCATATGTTTTGATCTTAGAGAGAAAGGTGTGATTTGTGTTCTAAAATCAGACAATCTCTAAACAATGTTATAATCCCAAATTATTCTTTCAAATAATTAATGTTAACATAAAACTATTTACAAAAGAATATAAATATATATAATATATAGTATGGTGTGTGGGTGTGTGTGTGTGTGTGTGTGTGTGTGTATTTATGTATGTATGTATGCATAATCTCCTATATATATATTCCTCTTTAGGACCTAAGAGGATAAACTTCAAGGCAAGTTTTACTTTTCATCTAATTTTTTTACCAATCCAATTTAATAAGCAGACAATCTTTTAATGTTGGAAATGTGTCTTTAACTCAAAGAGTTATAGAGATAGTAAAATAAAATTTTTTATTACCTATAGATTATTTATATAAATTATGACAAAAATATATGACTCCATTTATGAGAATTATATAAATTCTTATTTTTTCCCCCTTTTAAAAAATGTATTTATTTATTATAAAGATGTGAGGTACAATTCAGGGTTAGGTATACAAACATTGATCATGCAGGTACCCTTGTTGATGAGGTATGCCTCTCCCTACCCTAGCAGTTTTCCTCAACTGCCAGTCTCACCACCCCTTTTCCCTTGACAGTTTTCTACTACTGCCAATCACTTTCTTATAGCATTATAATTGTTCAAGTTCACCTTATGAGTGAGAACATATGGAATTTAGTTCTTTGTTTCTGTGATAAATCACTGAGTATGATTGACTCCAAATCCATCCAATTTGCTGCAAAGTCCATATATTTGTCCTTCTTTATGGCTGTATAATATTCCATTGTGTATATGTACCACAGTTTTTTTCCAGTCCAGCTTCAATGGGCAACATGGTTGGTTCTATGTTTTTACTGTTGTGAATACAGCTGCAACAAACATACGTGTGCAGGTATCTTTTTCGTAGAACAATTTGAATTCCTACGGGTTTATTCCCAATAGAGAGTTGCTAGGTCATATGGAAGGTCAATTTCTAGTTCTTTCAGAAATCACCACACTGTCTTCCAAAGAGATTGTACTAGTCTTCATTCTCACCTGCAGTGTAGAAGCATTCCTTTTTCTCCACATCCTCACCAGCATCTCTTGTTGTTTGTCTTATCAATGATGGCCATTCTTACAGGGGTTAGGTGGCATCTCAATGTGGTTTTGATTTGCATTTCTCTGATGATGAGTGAGGCTGAGCACTTTTTCATGTGTCTGTTAGTTGCTCATATATCTTCTTTTGAGAAGTGTCTATTCATGTCTTTTGCCCACTTTTTATAGGGGCTGTTTGTTTTTATCCTTTCAGGGCATTTGAGTTTCTTGTAGATCCTAGACATTAGACTTTTGTCAGATATACAGTTGGCAAATATTTTTTCCTATTCTGTGGGCTGTCTCCCTGCTCTCTTGATGGCTTCATTGACTTTGCAGAAGCTTGTCAGTTTAAGGAGGTCCCACTTGTCTATCTTATCTCTTATGGCCTGGGCACTTCAGGTTTTTATCAGGAATCGGTTGCCAGTTCCAACTTCCATAAGAGTGCCTCCTGCATTTTCTAAAGTTCTTAGAGTTTGAGGTTTTACGTTTAGGTCTTTGATCCATTTAGAGTTAATTTTTGTGTATGGTGATAGGTAGAGGTCCTGTTTCAATCTTCTCGATGTGTTCAACCAGTTTGCCCAGCACCATTTACTGAATAGGTTCTCCTCTCCCCAGTGCTTGTTCTTGGAAGCTTTGTCAAAGATGAGTTGGTTTAGGAATTCAGGCTTTGCTTATGGAATCTCTATCCTGTTACATTGGTCTATGTACCTGTTCTTTTACCAATACCAGGCTGTTTTGATTACTTTAGCCTTATAGTAAAGTTTGAAGTCTGGAAGTGTAATACCTCCTGCTTTATTTCTTTTGCTAAGGATTGTTTTGGCTATTTGTGGTCGTTTATGTTTCCATATAAATTTCTGTATTGTCATTTCCAGGTCTGAGAAGAATGATGTTGGTAACTTAATGGGTATTGCATTGAACCTGTAGATTGCCTTCGGTAAGATGGACATCTTAACAATGTTGATTTTTCCTATCCATGTGCATGGCATATTATTCCATTTGTTTGTGTCTTCTTGGATTTCCTTGAGCAGTGTTTTGTAATTCTCATTGTAAAGGTCTTTAACTTTTCTGATCAGGAAGATGCTGAGTATTTCATTTTTTGGGTGGCTATTGTGAATGGGGTTGTGCTTTTTATTTGGGTCTCTGCCTGCTTATTGTTGGTGTATAGGAATGCAACTGTCTTTTGCACATTTATTTTGTACCCTGAGACTTTGCCAAAGTACTTTATCAGTGCAAGCAGGTTTTTGACAGATTCTCTTTAATTTTCAAGGTATAGGATCATATCATCATCAAAGAAGGATAACTGGACTTCCTCTTCCTATTTGGATACCCCCGATGTCCTTCTCTTGTCTAATTACTCGAACTAGGACTTCCAACACAATACTGAACAAGACGGGTGAGAGTGGGCCCCTTTGTCTTGTTCCAGTTTTCAGGGGAAATGTTTCCAGTTTCTGTCCATTTAACAATATGTTAGCTGTGGGTTTGTCATAGATGGTGATTACTGTTTTGACATATGCTCCTTCTATACCTTGGTGTTTGAAGGTTTTTGTCAAGAAGGAATACTGGATTTTGTCAAAAGTTTTTTCTGCATCTAATGAGATAATCATGTGGTTCTTGTTTTTACATCTGTTGATGTATTTAATGACATTTATGATCTTGCGAATGTTGAACCAGTTCTGCATCCTGGGGATGAAGCCTACTTGGTCATGGTGGATTAAACTGAGTTATGTTTTTGGATCCGATTTGCAGGAATCTTGCTGAGGATTTTTGCATCTATGTTCGTAAGGGATATTGGCCTGTAGTTCTCTCTCTTTGTTGGGTCTTTACCCTGTTTGGGTATCAGTGTGATGTGAGCTTCGGAAAATGATTTGGGGAGAATTCCACCTTTCTCAGTTGCCTGGAATACTTTCAATAGGATTGGTATCAGCTCCTCCTTGTATGTTTTGTAGAATTTTGCTGGAAAGTCATCCGGTCCAGAACTTTTTTTGGTAGGAAGTCTTTGTATGACAGAGTCAGGTTCCTGGGTTGTTACTGGTCTATTTAGTATCTCAATGTCTTCTTGTTTTAACCTGGGGAGGTTGTGTGATGTCAGAAATTCCTTCATTTTATCTAGGTTATCAAGTTTGTTTCCATATAGGTGTACATAGTAATCTCTGATAATCTATTGCATTTCTTCAGGGTCAGTTGAAATTTGATTGTTTGTATTTCTGATTGTGTTTATTTGGCCTTTTACTCTCTTTTTCTTGGTCAGTCTGGCTAGGGGCCCATCAATCTTATTAATTCTTTCAAAGAATCAATTTTTGCTTTGTTGATGTTTTCTATAATATTTTTGTCCTCTCTATCCCATATTTGGGATCTTACTTTTGTGATTTGGATTCTTCTGCTAAAGTTGGGATTTTGGTGGTCTTCTCTTTCTAGCTCCTTTAGGTAATTTGTTAGGCTCTACACTTGTGATTCTTTCGTTTTCTTTAAGTGTGCTTGTAAAGATATTAATTCCCCTCTTAAGACTGATTTCATGATATCCCAGAGATTTTGGTAAGATATTTCTTCATTTTCTTTTTTTTTGAGTTGGAGTCTCACTCTGTTGCCCAGACTGGAGTGCAGTGGCCGCTCCCAGTCACCGCAGACTCGAACTGCTGGGCTCCGGTGATCCTTCTGCCTCAGCCTTCTAAGTAGCTGGAACTACAGGCACATGCTACCACGCCCGGCTAATTTTTGATTTATTGTAGAGATGAGATCTTGCCATACTTCCAGGAATCTTTCAATTTCTTCTTTGATTTCAGTGTTGATTCAGCATCATGCTGTTTAGTGTCCATGTCTTTGTGGGCTTTGGAGATATATTGTGGGTTTTGATATTTATTTTTATTCCACTGCGGTCTGAGAATGTGTATGGCAAGATTTCAACCTTATGGAATTTGTTTATGTTTGATTTATGGCCAAGGAAGTGATCGATCTTGGAGTATTTTCCTTGTGGTGATGAGTAGAATGTATATTCTGTAGTTGTTGGGTGGAATAATCTGTAAGTACCCACTAAGTCCATTTGGTCAAGTGTCAAGTATAGGTTCTGGATCTCCTTGTTGATTTTTTGCCCTGATGATCTATCTAGGGCTGTCAGTGAGGTATTTAAGTCCCTTGGTATAACAGTGTTAGAGCCAATATCTATTTTTAGTTTAGTTAGCAGTTGTTTTATAAATACTGGTGCTCCTGTGTTGGGTACATATATGTTTAGGATGGATATTTCTTGTTGATGGATTGAACCTTTTATCATTATGTAATGTTTTCGTATGACAGAATTGATTTTCTGGGTTGTTATTGATCTATTTGTTGTCTCAGTGTCTTCTTGTTTTAACCTGGAGATGTTGTGTGATGTCAGAAAGTTCTCTATTACATCTAGGTTATCAAGTTTGTTACCATATAGGTGTACATATTAATCTTTGATAATCTTTTGTATCTCTTTGGGGTCAGTTGTGATTTGATCTTTTGTATTTCTAATTGTGTTTATTTGGGCTTTTTCTCTCTTTTTCTTGGTCATTCTGGCTAGAAGCCCATCAATCTTGTTAATTTTTTCAAAGAAGCGACTTTTTGTTTTGTTGATGTTTTTTTATTTTTTTTATATATTATGTCTTCTATGTCTCGTATTTGGGCTCTTATTTTTGTGATTTGGATTCTTCTGCTAAAGTTGGGGTTTTGGTGGTTTTCTCTTTCCAGATCCCTTAGGTGACTTGTATGCTCTCCACTTGTGATCTTTCCATTTCTTGATGTGTGCTTGTAGAAATATAAATTCCCTCTGAGAACTGATTTCATGGCATCCCAGAGGTTTTGGTAAGGTGTTTCATCATTTTCATTTGTTTCCAGGAATCTTTCGATTTCTTCTCTGATTTCAGTGTTGACCCATTCATTGTTCAGCATCATGCTGTTTAATGTCCATGTCTTTGTGGGCTTTGGGGAATTGTTATTGGTTTTGATATTTATTTTTATTCCACTGTGGTCTGAGAATGTGCATGGCAAGATTTCAACCTTATGGAACTTGTTTATACTTGATTTATGGCCAAGGATGTGATTGATCTTGGAGTATGTTCCATATGGTGATGAGTAGAATGTATATTCTGTGGTTGTTGGGGGAATAATCTGTAAGTACCTACTAAGTCCATTTGGTCAAGTGTCAAGTATAGGTTCTGGATCTCCTTGTTGATTTTTTGCCTTGATGATCTATCTATGGCTGTCAGTGGGGTATTCAAATCCCCTGCTATAATAGTGTTAGAGTCAATATCTTTTTTAATTTTATTTAGTAGTTGCTTTATAAATGCTGGTGCTCCCGTGTTGGGTGCATATATGTTTAGGATGGATATTTCTTGTTGATGGATTGAACCTTTTACCATTATGTAGTGTCCTTTTGCATCTTTTTAAATTTTTGACAGCTTAAAGGTTGTTTTGTCTGATATTAAGATTGCAACTCCTGGCTTCTTTTGTGATCATTTGCCTGGAAACTCATTTTTCATCCTTTAACTTTGAGTCTGTGTGTGTCCTTTGTAGTCAGATGAGTCTTCTGGATACAGCAAATAATGGGGTCGTGGTTTCTTTTCCAGTCTGCCATTCTGTGTCTTTTCAGTGGTACATTTAGTCCATTCACATTCAGGCTGATTATTGGAATGTGATTGCTTATCCCTATTATGAGGTTCTTACAAAGTTTTTTCTTTGCTTGCTTGTTTTCTTTTGACTTTGGGGTTTGTGTATGCATGTGTTTTCAAGTTTCTTGTTGCACTGTATTCTCTGTTGATTCTGTGCTCTGCTGTTTTTTTGGAAAGTGTGTAGTGATTCTTTTTTTTTCTTTCTTCTGTGTTTAATATGTTTTTAAGTGTCTCCTATAGAGCTGGTCTGGAAGCTGCATAATCTCTTAGGAACTGGATGTCTGGGAAGGATTTTAATTCTCCATCACTGATGAAGAGGAGCTTGGCTGGATAGGAAATTCTTGGTTTAAACTGCTTATCTTTGAGAACTTTGAATACAGAACTTTAATCCCTTTTTGCTTGTAGTGTTTCTGCTGATAAGTCTCTGCTATTCTGGCTGGTTTTCCCTGGTAGATAGTCTAACCTTTCTCTCTTGCTGCCTTTAGGATTTTTTCTTTTGTGAATACTTTGTAAGGCAAATTACTATGTGTCTAGGGGTTGTTCTTCTCATTTGATGTCTTATGGGGGTTCTCTGTATCTCTTGTGTTTGACTGGTCACGGTCACATTTCTGGTGAGATGGGGAAAGTTTTCTTGGATTACCTCCTGGAATATTTGTTCCAAGTTGTTCTCATTTTCCCTTTCTTCTTCTGGGATACCGATCAGGCATAGATTTGGCCTCTTGAAATAATCACACATTTCTCATAGGCTTTGTTCC